CTTGCCTGTCTTGAATTGAGGCCCATACTGTTCCCACTACTTCTGCTCTCAGGGGGAGCCTAAGAGTCAGGGCAGAATGTGGACTGTGGCACCGCGGCAGGACAAGACCAGCGGTGGGCAGAAAACCCGACTCCTGCCTCTTCTGCCTTTCTTTCCCTAGGGTCCTGGCTAGGAATATAGGTGAATGGGTCTTAAGAACAAACACACCACCACTACAACAACAAAATCCCACACTGGCTCAACAACAATCCCAGTGACTTCCCTTTATATTTTCTGGGAAAGTTCACAAGATGCAGTCCAACACTGGGGGTGTAACTCCATTGGTAGAGTGCTTGCCTTGAATACATGAAACCCTTGGTGTCCAGTACCACAGAAACAAGGTGTAGTGGTAGACCTTCTTGTAATCCCAGCACTTAGGGAAACAGGAGGATAAGGAGTGAAAGGTCATCCTCAGATGCACAGCAAGTTGGAGGCCAGCCTGGGGCATATGAGACCCTGTCTCAGAAATGAAGATAAAAGAGTAGCCGGTAATACCTCTGAACTTGGGTCTGGAGAGCTGAAAGGCAGTGGTAGACCAAAGAGTTTTGCCAAAACACAGTGGTTCTCATCCTAAGATCATCGGAAAATGCAGATATTTACATTATGATTCATAACGGTAGCAAAATTACAGTTATGAAGTAACAACAAGATATTTTTATAGTTGAGAGGACAACACACCATGAGGAACTGTATTAAGGGGTGGCAGCATTAGAAAGGTTGAGAACCACTACCTAGACAGAATCTAGAGGAAGGACAAGGGTGTTCTCCCCATACCCCTCTATAGGCCCACCCATCTTTGTCCATTTCCTTCAGGCCTTGGGTCTCCAGGAATAGTCACTGGCTTGTCCAGAATGGATCCCCAGCAACTGTTGGTTCAACCAAACCAAACAGAAAGAAACAAATGAAAAGGCCCCAATCTGGGGCCTCAGTGTGCGGTATCTGGGTAATTGAAAAGCTCACTGCCCTTGTTTCTTGTTTATAATAGTGATTCTTATCCAAGAGTCTCCCAGCTCCAAGCTCCTCCCTCCCACTTATCCTACTCTATGGAACCTGCCAGAATTTTCTAAAGTGCAGAGTTGGGATCACACTTATCCCAGAGATCTTCATAGTGAGATCCTAATGAGAACTCCTAGGCCTGTGTCCAGCTCTACTTCCTCGGTTCACAGTTTTGCCCCCATTCCCCCAGTCATCTTTCATTAGTCTGTGCTGAAAGCCATCTTTGCCATGGAACTTTCTTGCTCCCTATTGTGGCATTTACTGTAGCTCCTTGTCATGGCAGCATCTTACCATCTCTTGGCACTTGCAAAGCTATTACAGTGTCCAGTACTGAGGTCAACACTGGAAACAGCTCTGCCTAACAACTGATGTGGCAGTGTTCCATGGACTAGATCAATGTAATCCTCTAAGGAAGGATCTTGGGCCAGGAGCCCTCTGCTCCCTCTTTGTGAGTGAATTTGGCATGTGAGGTATTTTCCATTGTCCCTTTCCCCCATCCTCATCCTGCTTCTTTTGCAGTGAAGGCCTCCCTGGGGTCACAGGGACAGAGGAGGGAAGACAACAGCTGTAGCTTGCAGATTCCTTCCACGACACTACCAATCTTGTGAGCATCATGAGAATAGCTAGCTGTTGGGATGTTGCAAGCTGAGGGCAGGGGGCATGAGACCTTCACAAAGCCACTTAAAAGCAAATAAATACCTTGTGCTGCAGCATCTTTATTGTCTTAGCCTTGTAACCACTCACATCTAAAACAAGTGCCTATAATTTGTGTGAGCTGAGGCTAATTGCTTTGATTCCACAGCCTTAATTCCCTTCCCCCTTGGAATATGTGGTTAGAATCTCTTGTGACTTCTCATAGTTTTTTTTTTTTTTTTGCATGATAAACAAAGTATTAAAAGCATTAAAAAATTATGAATATGGGCTAGGGAATGTAGCTTAGTGGTACAGCACTTGCCTAGCATAGGGAAAACCCTAGGGTCAAATCCCAGTACCACCAATAAAAACAAAGTAAAACCACAGAAGAATTATGTGCAATGGACAGCATACTTATCAATCGTTTATTCAATGTACTGTTTTAAGTTAATATGGCTGGTATATGTTTCATAAAAACAGGTGATTCAGTGACTTTAAAATAATCTGGTCAGGATGGACAGAAGACACGTCCTAGAACAGCTATTGGAACATAATGTAAATTACAAACATTAGCCACATGTGTGATTTACATTTTTCTAATTTAAACACACACACACACACAAAATGGCTAAGCCAATTTGTTTTTTTTTTTTTTTTTTTTTTTTTTTTTTTTGAGACAGGGTTGTTCTGTAGGCCAGGCTGGCCTTGAACTCACAGAGATCCACCTGCCTCTGCTTCTTGAGTGCTGGGATCAAAGGTGTGCGCCCCCACCTGGCGCTAAGTTACTTTGAATGACACAAAACTCACTATATCCCAAATGTTATCCTTTCAATATGGAATTCATATAAAAGTTAATATATTATTTATGTTTTTATAATTAAACCTGTGTGTGTTTTCAAGTGCTTAACAGTACCTTTGGATATAAGTAAATTAGCCACTGGGCTGGGGATGCAGCTCAGTTGGCAGGTAGGTTACCTACACTACACAAAGCCCTGGGACATCAATTCCCAGCACGACATAGATCAGGCATGGTGGTGCACACCTGGAATCCCAGCATGTGGGACATGGAGGTGGGAGCATATGAAGTTCAAGGTCATCCTTGTCTATGTAGGGACTTTGGGGTGAGCCTGGGCTACATAGGATCTATTTTATTTGGTCTCTGGAGATTTGTAATGTCTTTAAATTTATTATTTAATGAATTTATTATTAATTATTGATTTTGATTTTTTGAGACAGTTTCTCTGTGTTGCTTTGGAGCCTGTCCTAGAATTCTATATACAGACTAGGCTGGCCTCTAACTCACAGAGATTCGCCTGCTTCTGCCCCTCAAGTGCTAAAATTAAAGGTGCACACTCCGTCTTCCAAATGCTGGTATTAAAGGCATACACCAACACCGCCCAGCTGTAATTTTTTTATATTTAACTTTAAATTGTATGTGTGTGCATTAGTGAAGTGTCCAAGGAGGCCAGAAGGAAGAATTGAATTAATTCCCCGGAGTCTGAGTTGCAGGGTTTGCGAGCCACCTGAGATAATTCACTTCTAGTCCTCTGTAAGAACAGCAGGTGCTATTAACCTTTGAGCCATATGTTTGGCACTGAGGTTTATCATCTTTATTCTCTGAAGGTGAGAACTGGCAACAATTGTATATAATTCTCAGCCAAAATCAAATTCAGAATTCAATCTTTTTTCAAACCAAACTCTCTCTTGTATTCTTTTCTAAACAAGCAATACAAAGTTGGGAAGGTTGTGCTGTCCTTCAATCCTAGCATTTGGGAAGTGGAGGCAGGAGAATTGGGGTTCAAAGGCAGCCTTAGATACCTCAGGAGTGTAGGGCCAGCCTTGGTGATTTGAGACCTCATTAAAAAAACCTAAACAATAATACAAAAGCACATCTAATTGTTATCCTGACATTCATTACATTATCACAGAAAAGGAAATTTCCCTTCAAAATTCACCTACAACTTCACATTTCTGCTAAGACTTTTTGTTCAGTTTGGATCCAATGGAATTAGCTATAATTCTACAACTGTTGGAAGAAATATTTCCAGCTTTGATGGACTGTGAATGGAAATGTCTCAAGTGGGCATTAAAGCCCTCCCTCTAGTTTCTCTATCAGGTAGTAATATCGTTTTTATTCTTGAGTTATTTGGCGCTTTACTGACTCCAATAGGTAAGAAGTAAAGTACAGATTTACTTAATTACTCTTAAAAAGCACGCCTACACCAAAAACTTACATTCTAGCACTTGGGAAGTGGGGGCAGGAGAATCAGGAGTTTAAAGTCATCCTTAGCTAGAGTTTGATGTTAGCTGGGGATACATGAGACCCTGTATGCCCAACTTCCCAACCATTCACATCAAAACACAACCGGAGTCAATTAGCTGTCAAGGAAAGATTTTTCCACAGGAGTCAGGCACGAAGGGCAGAGGGTGGACAGGAGGCAGGCTGGCCCTATGGAGGCTCCATCTGATGTCTCAGAGAAATGTTAAGGGCAGCAGTAAGCCCTCCTGGACATGGAAGCTGCCCCTGGGGGATCTAGAACCACCTGAGTGACTGAGGTGGCACACGGGAGCCATTCTTCTGTAGGACCTGATGGCATCTTCCTTCTTCCCTTCCATTGCACATTTCAGAATAGGGGAGTAGGTGGTGGCCGGGGTGAAATATGGTCTGTGAATGCCAGATTTTAGCAGGTTGAGCCAGCACTATGTTCCAGGCCAAGTTGGGTTACACAGAAAAGAACAGGCTAGGCTCACCTGAAGAGTGGTTGCCTGGCGTGCACAACCCTGGCTCTGATCTTCCACCGCTAGTCCCGTGCTGACAGCAACTTGGGGACTTTCTGCCACTGGCTCTGTAAGTTTAGCAGGGCTTAGACCCCAGGCTGCGCTGGTAGGAGGTGTGTGTTGGGGGAGGGGGGGAGAGGGGGAGGGGAGACGGAGAGGGGAAACTAAACCTTGGCTCCTGCCCTGGCTCCCAGGCATTTCCGCCAGACTCTGAGCATGCTTCTGCATGCGTCTGCGCGTGCGCGCACCATAATTAACCGTGCGGTTGCCAGCTGTTTCCGGCGTTCCTTCGCATACCTTCCAAGGCTCCTCAGTTGAGGTTCGATCTCCATGTGGAAGCACGGGGCAGGAAAAGGGCAGGCTGGAAAACAAAACAAAACAAAACAAAACAAAACAAAACAAAACAAAACAAAACAAAACAAAACACCAGAGATAACGGCCTGGAACAGACTGGACTCCGCGAGATGACGAACAATCCTTCCTGCGCATGTGCGCTGTGGTCACATGACGTGGGGCGGATCCACGGCGGGTGGATTGAGAGCGTGATTGATACGGAGGGACCTGTGGTGGCAAGGCTAATATGGCTGCAGCGCTCTATGGTGGCGTGGAAGGGTGAGCGTTGAACGGACCCGAAGCCATCCATTAGGAAGCGGCGGGTCAGGGGGCGGTGGCCCACTCTGCTCCTTTGTGCTCCACGGCGTGACCACGCCCCTCCCGGCGCCACCTTCGCGCCGTCCCAGGGCCGGTTGTGCTGAGCTTGGGTCAGGTTGGAAGTTGCCTGTCGCGGGTGGACGTGGGAAAGAAGCGAAATCCCAGACTGAGATTTATGACTGAGGGAACCTGGGAGTTGAGCAGCTGCCACTAGAACACTGTTTTGTCCTGGTGACTGGGACTCTCCACAACTGTCAGCCCACAACTGTCAGCCCACAACTGTCAGCCCTAGGAAGGCCCTTGCTTCCCACATTCTCATGTTCAGAAGTTGATCTGTTGGACTTTGGGAAGTAGCTTTGCCGGGCATGGCTTTGGGTGAGACAAATGCCCTCTCTAGGCCTCAATTGCCACATATGTAAAGCAAGGACAAGGGTGAACAAGATGATGGATTGCCCTGTCCCCTGCACATTTTGTGGGTCTGGGTGATTCAAACCAGCGTATGCTAGGAGGAGGATTTGGGAGGATTTGGTATCATAGCAGCTCACTCCTCACTTACCCTGAAGTCTTAGCAAATTGCTAAGGTGGATGTCTTCAGATTTTTTTTTTTTTTTTTTTGTGACACCTTAAAAACAAACAAAGAAAAACCCTCAGCACAGTGTGGGGATTTGCACTTAGCCTTGTTATTAATCTGGAAGGTAGAACTTAATTTTCCATAATTTGTCAAGAAGTAATTTCTTAGTATGTTGTCTCATGCGTTAATATCCCCTCTGAACTTGATGTCCTCTTTGAGTTAGATCATCAAGTTTTAACTGTCATTACACAGATAGGTTTGGGAGTAGAGGTTGGGTTTGCTGAAGCTATCTCTACCCTAGATTCTAATAAGGAACTACTGTGCAAGCTTGGCTTTCTGTCTGTGTAGTTTTAGCAGGACTGAATTACTCTCTTGTGTTTTATAGAGGTGGCACACGGTCCAAAGCCCTTTTACTTTCCAAGGATGGGCAGATCCTGGCAGAAGCAGATGGATTGAGCACAAACCACTGGGTAAAAAGCCATCCCAGAGGGCTTGGGTCTTATTTAATGTGCTGTAACTCCTGTTGAGGTGGTGGCTGAGGCTCGTAGCAGCTGGTAGGAGCAGTGCAGGTCCTGTAAGTTTTTTTTAACTCTTCCTTCTCTGTTGAGGCCAGCTGGTTGGCACAGACAAGTGTGTGGAGAGGATCAACGAGATGGTGAGCACAGCCAAACAAAAGGCTGGAGTGGATCCTCAGGTACCCCTTCGAAGCCTGGTGAGTCGGCTGGAGCTAGGACCAGTGACAGTGCTGAAGCAGGTGGCCAGTGGGATTAGATGAGCTTGATGGTGAGAGGAAAGGGCTCTAGGGCTAGGGCCCTTCATCTTGTCCATTCTTGTGGTTTCAGTGGTCTTCGATAAGCTGAGAATGTTTTTTTAAGAGTATGGGGCTCTACAAACTCATTGGTATCTTGACTTGAATTTCAGCTTTTCCACTCAGTAGAGTGTTCCTTAAGTCATTTACTTTCTCTTTGCCTCAGTTTCCTCATTTTGAAAATACAGATAATAAGAGTTGTTGGAAAAGTGAGGTAATATGATATATTCCAAAATGTTAGTTCGTCTTCTTCCCAGGTTTCTGTGATTCTGGCTATTTCTCAGATATGTAAGGGAGATGTGCAGGCACAGCCAGACCCCATGGATGTCAAGCCAGGCTGCTTTCTTCATATCTCCTCATCTTACTCCGATGTCTTTCTTTCCTAACCCTAGGCCAGGCTATTCCTGAAGGCATGACCTTCTAAGGGTTTACTGTTGGTGGAGGGGCTAGATAGGATGAGCAGGCTATGGCCAGATGGGTTTTAGGAGGAGAGGGGTTAAGAAAAAGCTGGTCTGGGGCTGTTCCCTCCTTTCTTTGTTCAGCATGTTCCTCTCCCTTGTGGCCTAGGGCCTGTCCCTGAGTGGTGGGGAGCAGGAGGAAGCAGTGAGGCTCCTGATAGAGGAGTTGAGGGGCCGATTTCCCTACCTGAGTGAAAGTTACATAATCACCACTGATGCAGCAGGTTCCATCGCCACAGCTACACCGGATGGTGAGGATGTGAAGGAAGGAGTGGAGTTGAGAATGAGCTTTCTTAGGAAGAAAGCCCTGTACCTATAACTGGCAAAACTTCTCTTACAAATATCTGGAAGTCAGCCACTTTTATTCTCTCCCAGCTGTCCTTTCCTGGGCATATTTATACCTTTGCTAGACCAGGGACAGAAGAGGAAGGAGGGCAGGATAAGTGGGTGGGAAATGAGGGGTAGAATCTATGGGGGCAAAAACTGGGGGTACTGAGGAGAAAGTGCGGGACTCTGTGGGTATGGTATTGGTGTGCTGCTATATAACTGAGTCTCACTAGGCATGTCAGTGAACACCTCCTACTCCAGCTCTCAGGAGACAGAGACAGGCAGATTGCTGCAAGTTCAAGGCCAGCCTGTTGTACATAAATAAGCCCTAGATCAGCCAGGACTACCTTATGAGACCATCTCAAAAATGAAACTGGCCTAGGCCAGTTGTTGTGGAAAGGTTTTATTTTTGTAGAAGTGGGAGTTGGCTATCTGTATGCTTTAGGGTGCTGATGGTCACTGTAAGAACAGGGTCTGCTATAGTCTCTGGCATTAGGTACTCAGTAAAGCCAAGATCATTTGAAGTCTGGCTGCCAGAGAGCCATGTTCCCTTGAAGAGACAGACTTGTGTTCTTCCTCTATCCCCTAGACAGGAAGTAGGCTGTTTGCTCTGGGAGGTTGGGTGGTGATCCCTCTTCAGTGGGTCTGGTTTCTTAGCCACACTGAGTCCCCATGTCCTCTCCCCAGGTGGGATTGTCCTCATCGCTGGGACAGGCTCCAACTGTAGGTTTGTCAACCCTGATGGCTCTGAAAGTGGCTGCGGTGGCTGGGGCCATATGATAGGAGATGAGGGCTCAGGTAAGCACACATAGGGCCTGGACATACCTCTTCCTGTGACTCCTTTCCCTTTTCCTGCCCTCTTGGACACCTAGACAAGTGTCCCTAAATATCTCCTAACCCTGTTTCAGAGTATAGGGTAGTGTTGGGAGAATCACAGTTACCATCTTGATCCTTAGTAGCCTCTCATGCCCAGAGTTCAGTTTATGACATGGTGGTACAGCCTACCCCTGTTGACTTTTGGAGACCTAAGGGAAGGATTCAACCTGAAGGTTAAGGACATAGCTGTCCAGAGACTGTGCCAGTTTGAAAGGGGTCTGGAATCACTTCTCACTGACACTACTATTAGGGCACCATGTATATATTTCTTAAGTTGTAATTGCAGCTGTGTTATAGCTCACTACCCTTGTGTTTGAATAGGAGCAGTGTGACAAGTTTAACTACTCAGTCTTCCCAACAGCTTTCCCTTGCCTAGGTCTGTCAGATAATTTGGTTAAAAGCCTTCCTTCCTACTGGAAACCACTAACTGACTGATCACTGACTTCTAACTGGTCTTGGGCTTGGGAGTCCTTCTTAGTGAAGAGTTGGCCTCTGTGATTGGCTGTCTTTCTTTGTGCTTTGCTCCTGGCAGCCTTCTGGATTTCACACAAAGCTGTGAAAATCGTGTTTGACTCTATCGACAATCTGGAGGCAGCTCCTCATGATATTGGCTATGTCAAGCAGGCCATGTTCAACTATTTCCAGGTATTGCCTACCCCACAGTCATGTAAACCTAGTGTAGGACACTGGGGCATCTATGGGAGAGGCTGCAGAAGAGGATAGGTATCTCTCAGTGGATCAGCTAAGGACAGGATTCAGAGTAGTGTGTTCAACCAGTGTGTTGCTACTTCCTCTTAGGAATTTTTGCACTTTTATAAATATTTAAGCAAAGCCAAATAAGAGTGTATTAAACAGTCATGTTTCTGTAGATGCTCACATTTACCCCACCCCCCACTAAAATGTACTCTAGAGAATCTCTGTATTCTTGGGTACTCAGAAGGATGGATTGATGTGTTAGATTTGGTGGAGGAGGAAGACAGTATGAGAGATGAATTCATTTCTTGGGTGAATGTTTGGTCTGCTACTGTGAGTAGGGACTGTAGGGAACTGCTCTTTAACTGAAGCAATCTTCTCAAGAGTTCAGTGAATTTGATCTTGGGGGAAACAAAACTACTCAAATGATAAATCTCAAATTCCTATAATTTTTAAAGCTTAAAAGCGCCAAAATATTTTGGTTATTCCAGTAGACACACTGGGAAGGCCACTCTGGGTGACAAGACTAGGGGTTTTCTGTGTCTACTGACTGCTTGTGTCTTCTCTTGTGTTCCTCAGGTGTCAGATCGGCTAGGAATCCTCACCCACCTGTATAGGGACTTTGATAAATCCAAGTTTGCTGGGTTTTGTCAGAAAATTGCAGAAGGTATTATAGGTGCTGGCTTATGTGTAGCTTGGTTCCCCAAAAACATTTCTAATGGGAGGGTGGTGCATGGGTTAAGGCTTTCTTACCAAGTAACCTGTCTTCTATTGCTCAATTTGGTGTAGTGGATAGGGTGAAGGTGGGACCAGACAGCACTGGATTGCCTGTGTTTCTCTCCCTGCTGGCCATGTGGCTGGTGCAATCTGCAGGCCTGGATTTGAGAACTTGAAGTAGTGTCTATTGGGCAAGTTCACAGAAGCAAGGATTGGAAAGTTCAGACAGCTTGTGTTGGCTTTGGGAGGAGCCTGCATGCCACACCTTGTTTTTTCACTCTGAGGTCTGCTCTTTTAACTTGGAGTCCTTAGCCCCAGGGTACCTACATGTGTTTATCTCAAAACACCAGTCAGGATGGTACTGGCCAGCAGCATACTGTTGAGGGTGCTGATCACCAACAGGAGCGTCAGCAATCTTCTCAGATAGGGTCCCTTGTCCACAGGGCTAATAGACTTATGGGGACAGACACAGTTTAATAGTTCACTGGAGTCTAGCCCTACTGCTCTGGTGGGGTTGGGGAGGATCTTCTCAAGGCACTGGAAGGGGAGAGCTGGAATGGTGGGAGGAGGTTTGCTTTACCAATGTGGGTATCCATCCTAATACTGATTTGGTCTGAGCTTACTGCCTTACCTGAGGGAGAGAGGGGCTCGAGTAGAGTAGGCTGCTTCTTGTATTCTCCAGCCCCTTGTTCCTCCATGCCCCAGGTGCACAGCAGGGAGACTCCCTTTCCCGGTACATCTTCAAGAAGGCTGGAGAGATGCTGGGCAGACACATTGTGGCGGTTTTGCCAGAGATTGACCCGGTGAGTTAAGACATGAAAGTGGATGGCAGCTGGATGAGGTCTGGCCCTTGGCCTAGGTTCTAAGACTGTCCCATCAAACTCTGTGTGCTTGGATGCCTCTGAATCTGTAGAGACTGGCCTCATGTGGTACTGTCTGTTCTGTGGGCTCTGTCTTCATACTCAACATCTTCCTATTTGAACATTCCTTTCCTCTTCTCTCCCTGACTTTCATGGTTTCCGTTTTCCTCCTTGCCGCCCCCCTTTTGTTTGGCTTGAGTCTACTTTTAGTTTTCCCATTAGAAGGAGAGTGTCTTAGACAGAAATTGGCCTGAGGAAACATCTCTGAGGCTCTGGCAAGATTTAGGTTAGGATCAGTCTGCAGTGTTCATTTTCTTTCTTCTTCCCAGGTCTTGTTCCAAGGGGAGCTTGGCCTCCCCATTGTGTGTGTGGGCTCAGTGTGGGAGAGCTGGGAGCTGCTGAAGGAAGGTGAGTCTCGGTGGGAAGGTTTGGGTGAAGCAAAGGATACAGCTGGAAAGGAGGGTGAAGTGGAACCCTTTATTCTGTTCATCCAGCCCCTGTGATCCCCCTCCTGGGGTGTGTGCTTGCTAAACCTGTGCTCTACTACAGAGTTGTACAGCTCTAGCTCTTGAACTGGTGAAAAGATGTTCTATTACAAATGACATATTACTTTTTAAGATTTGTTTACTTTTATGTTGTGTGGGTATTTTGCCAGCATGTATGCATGTCTGTGCATCATGGGTGTGCAATGCCCAAGGAGTGTAGAAGAGGGAGTCAGAAATGGAGTTAAAGGTACTGTGAGCCACCATGTGGGTGCTAGGTACAGAACATATGTCCTCAGAAGAGCAGCGAATGCCCTTAATGACTGAGCCATCTCTCCATCCCCTTAAGAGCTCAGACCTGCGTGATAATTGGTGGTAGCATACTTAGTCACTGTTCTGGCCAGAAGAAATTTAGCATGACAGCTGCAGTTCAGCCAGTTGCAGGGTCTCCATTAGGCTCTCTGAAACTGCTCAAGGGTCCTTGTAGATTCTGGCACCAAGAAGTTGTTGGTGTTGCATGCCCTAGAGTTAAGGAGTACATGTTCCTTGGCCTGCTGGTTCCAGGACCCATAGCATCCTGGTGCCTCTATGTGCTGGATCTCCACTGAAGCCCCAGCTGCTGATCTCTTCTCTGTGTTCTTCACTCCAGGCTTTCTCCTGGCGCTAACCCACGGCAGAAAACTACAGGCCCAGAGCTCCTTATCCCGATTCACCCTGATGAAACTACGGTACTCTTCTGCACTGGGGGGTGCTAGGCTGGGAGCCAAGCACATTGGATACCACCTTCCCTTGGACTACAGCATCAATACTGTTGCCTTCTATTCCTATACCTTCTAGGGGCTGTACCCTCTCCCCCATCTAGCTGACACTGAGTGTTAGAACAGAGGAGCTTTTTGTTAAAAACACATGAAAGAAAATAAATGCACTTTACTCCCTCCCCAGCAGGAGGTATCCTCAGTACATTGCTGTACAGATCCTCAGCACTTACAGCAGGTCAGCCTACCAGGTTCAGGGTTTAAAGATAAACTCCAGGTGCTTGCTGTGGTTTACATGCACCCACCAGGCTTTTAAGCATATAATGGCACTGCACTTCCCATTTCCATACCACAAGCTGTGGCTGCCAGGAGCTGGGACCCAAGTTATGATGTAATCAAGTTGTACCATGTCCACCTCCTAGGGAATGACCTAAGATCTATATCTATCATAGCCTCTCCGAATGTTCCCAGTAGGATTTGGGAGACAATACAATCCTAGTCTCAATTTTGACTTAACCTTGCATTTGGTAGCTGTAAGTACACAGGCATTTTGTTTGTCTGAATGAATCCCTACAGGCCCGGTAGGCACTGCTTAACTCAGTGCAGTGACCGGCCTGCTCCTCAATGCTGCTTACCTGGCTCTGGTTATAGTGGGGCACTTCTCTCAGACTTTTATAGCTATGCCCTGGGGGGGGGGGGGAGGTTCTGTCTTCTGGAGCTAATCCTCCAAGGAAATATTCTGAATTGCCCAGAGGCACCATCATTCCCAGTACCAGTTGGCAACTAAGGTCTGCATGTGCAACAACGCTAGTATTTTAACCTCTGGGTCTGTTTTCCCTCTCTAAGTCCTGTATAGTGTACTTGTCTATATGTGTGGAAGAAGGGAGCAAGGGTTAGCCAGGAAGGTGCTACCTCAGCAAGTGTAATTATTCTTGTTTGTTGAGTTTTTAACCATTTGATTTATAGAACAAAAATTAAGTAATTTTTCCCACTTTTGTTACTTTTAGGAAAATTGTTTTTAGGATTTTGTTGTTAATTTTGTTTGGGTGTTCTGCTTGCATTTATGTAGGGATGTGTGTGTGTGTGTGTGTGTGTGTGCGCGCGCGAGCGTGTGTGTCTGCAGGGACCAGAAAAAAAAATATCAGATCATGTCTGGGTTTGGAGTTTCAGATGGCTGTTAAGCCTGTGTGGTTACTGGGAATTGAATCAGGAGCAGCCATTCCCTTAATTGCTGAGCCATCTCTCCAGCGTGTTTTTTTATTTTAAAAGCCCTGTGTTTTTAAACATTTGTATTAGGAACAAGGGTCTAGAGTCTGGACCTAGGATTACTGGAGGACAGCCTGGACATTATCAGGCTGCTTTGCCCCACTGGCTCTTCCATCTCCACTTTGGCCCTCTTTCCTCCTGGGTGTATCTCCACCACCTCAAGAGTCCAACATAATTAGTATAACTATAACTCTCCATGGACATCACTAGAAAGTTACAGTCTTCAGCACTGATTCTGAATTTAGGAACTTTCTTTAGTGCTAGAGCACAATCACCTCATTCGTTTCTCACAGAAAGTTCTTTCATATGCTGGTCCCCAGGCCCTGCTGTGCCTTTTCTGGGCATTTCATGTCAGTGGATTAAAACACTGTAATTAATTTATGTGGCACTTCGTTCCTTCAATGTTGAGCAGTTTGCTTTTGAAGAGTACAGTGCATTTGTCAGAGAGCCCCTTAAGCTCAGGTTTCAGCCTCTTCAGCTCCACTGGCTTTCACCTCCACATGGGTAAGTCCTCTGTTCACAGGACTTGAGAGCTATACGTCTTAGGAGCCTGAGCCCTGCAGATTCCTGTGATCCTCAACTTCTCATGAGGAAACACTGTACACTCTACTACAGGTCAGGACCTTTTAACATCTGAGAGCCATTTAATAATGAACACAGGTGAACTTTCTGGGAGAAACGAATGAGGTGATTGTGCTCTAGCACTAAAGAAAGTTCCTAAACTCAGTGACTTCGACACTTAAACCCAGTGAGTTTCATGATCTATAAATGCATCATTAGTGAACTACCCCAGCTTAAAGCTGTTTTATTTTAGGGGCCCTGTTTCCACTTTTCAAGCACTAATTTACTTTTACTAACTTATTTATAGATAGAGTCTCATTTATGTAGACCTGGCTAGTCTGAACTCTGTATTCATCTCAAACTAGAGTTCTACCTGCCTTTGCCTCTTCCCAAGTCCTGGGATTAAAGATGAGTACTAGCTGTTAAATATTTTTGAAGGCTCACAACTGGCAGGACAAAATTCTCTTTGTGTGTTTATAGAGTGAAATATGTTATTACTTTACAAGAAGCGCATTTTATAGTCAAGGGATGTAGTTTACTGTTGGAACACTTCCCCAGCCATGCACAAAATGTTCCATTTAACTCTCAGCACTGAAAATCAATTTAGTAACAGTACAATATTAAGATATTTAGGACAGCCAGGTGGTCCACATGGTCTCTCAGCACTGGAGAGGCTGAGGTGGCAGGATAAGAGGTTCAAGTCTATTCTAACCACAGAGCAAGACTGACTCAAAAGATAATTTTAATATCCTTACCCAGAGGATAGCTTCAGTGGTAGAACACTGCCTAGCTGTATGAGATCCTGAGTTTGATCCTAAGAACTACCAAAACCAAACCAAACCAAAACAAAAACAAAAAACCAAAAAACTTTATAGTATTAAGTAACCTGGAATGTTTATTCATTTTAAAATACAGTAAGGTAAATTTTTGGAGGAAAGCTCAGCAAATTTTCCATTTAAATTATACTTTTAGCAACAAAGATGCAGGAAGAACTTTACAAAAACAAAAAACAAACAAACAAAAAACCCCAAGAGCAGGAAAGGAAATGTGTCTTCTAAGCTTGACATCTTGAAGACAGCAAGTGTCTTATGTCCTAGTCCCAACTCCCAGGCAAAGGAAACTTCTGGAGTCCAGGAGTGTGATGGTAATAAGGCAGGTCATATGCAGTCTAATGGTTCCCTGGTTCCTGCTCTGTTCTCACCACTACCAGAAGCTTCTTGGAAGATCAAACATGGGAAAAAAGAACCCCACTTCCTTCCAGATTGTAGTCTGGTGGACATCCTCTATATAGCAGAATGGACGTTGAGAGGCTCTCATACCCACTGCACTGAGATATTCCAGGACTGACCAATTGTGGATGGACAGATCACTTGGTCCCTGCCTCACACATCAGCATCCTTTCTGCTCTCTCTACTTGATAAAACCAATGCCTCCCACCCCTGCTCTCCCAGAGGACAGTGGTTAGGATAAACTTTTCCACCAGGTGGGTACCTCCAACTTGTAGTCAAGTTATTTAGACCCGTGAGTTCCTATCCTTGACATCCTATAAACCTAGACTAATATTAAGACTCTTACTGCAGAGGCCTGTCCCCTCTACCAATAGGGGACAAATTCAGGAAGCCAGCCAGTCACATGCTCATCCAACACAGCCCCAATCAAGAGGGTCACTCTGGCTGTCCTTCATTCCTAGCTCACTCATTGAAGATGCTGACTCGAAGAGCTGTTACCTTTATCTTAGTCTCTCTAAAGTCAAAACAAACCCTTGATATAACAATAATATGGACAATACTTAGTAGTTCACTAGGAACATTTATTTTTAAGTCATGGTTAGCCTTACAATCTTAACGAAGTAATCATAGCTGTGATTTTAGAAATAGGGGTGCTACTAAGACCCAGCCTCTCCATAGGCCTGGAATGCAGCTTGGTGTAGTGCTTGCATACATAGCACATGTGAGGTCCTGGATCCAATAAAAAAGATGCAATCTTTAGACTATTTTCTGGCTTGCTTATAACTCAAAGTCAGGTACACTATAGACAGAAACTGGCTCCAGGTTTTGGCTACCTCCATAATTTCTTATGCAGTCCAAAATGCCTGAAGAGAATATCCTTGTATCCATCCCTTCACATACACACGAAAGAAAAGTTTAGAGTCAAATAATCACAATTAGAACTCAGTCACAAATAAATGAAGACTGGGGCCAGCCAGATCAGCAACTATTAAGAACATTTTCTATTGCTGTATAAATTCTCAAGGGGGAAAAACACATATACACATAAAACTCCCAAAACTCTTCTGCTAAGTTGGCAAACTGTAATGCTAAGCCTACCTCACAACATTGGATAACAGAGTTGGGCCATAGGAATAAGTCATTTTAGATATTACTAAGGACCACCTCACTGGCTATATCCCAAGCCTGGAGTCATGATGTTGCCTCCAAGGTGGACCCAACACACCAGCAAATATTTCCAGGTACACTGACAGCATTTTAGTAGTATTAAACAAATGTACCCTCAAAACCTGGCCAGAGACTGATAACCAAGTAAAATGAGCCAACACAGCAAGAGGGGAGGTAGGCCTCTTGGATCACACCTAGCGGTTTTGCTTCCAAAGGGCAAAACTTTAGGATGGAACAAAACCTCCTGAGGCTTGTGAGGGCTTCCCAGCCAGGTACTCAGAAGAGGGTGCTCTATATGCAGGTGGAGATTCTCAAGGATCTTCCTGCAATCCGGATACATTCTGAACTCCCAACAGCCTCATGGAGAACTGCAGTATGACCTATCCACACCCTTCTCCTTATTAGAAGTGGAAAGCCAAGCTACAAGCTAAAGCAGGAATAAAGTCCTATCAGAGTTTCATTCTCTTGAGGGAGAGTCTTTGGGAGTCAATGTGTATCTGGCCATACAAGTTCCCTGAGCTACTCACTATGATGTGACTTAAGAGGGAAGACCACTTTCACAAGATGCCATCCTATGAGATTTTAACAGGAAAAACAGGGAACTTTGTGTTTAACTGCTGGGGCTGTCTACACATCAACAGGGAGAGTTGAGAACAGCTCAAGGGTAGGACTAACATGGCACAAGTGAGAACCTGGGTTCTATCCCTGTCACTAAGACAAAATGGAAAGTGAGAAAATCAGTTCATGAAAAAGGAAAAATGTTTCAACTTTCCAGACTCCAGTCCTTTCTTTCTAGTCTCTGCCCACACCCATATGCTGAACTGACAGACTAGCAGCTATATGATCTTTGCAGACCTAACACACAACACTCTCAGGCCTCTCCAAATCCATCCTAGGAGTATGAAAAGGACAGGATATTTGTTCTTTCACCCTCAACACTCCCACCTTCACCTCTGCTCACAACAGCAGATCCCAGTGGAGTTCAGTCCCATAGAGTATCAACAAAACCAAGACTGCACCTAGCCAGGCCCATGAGGAAAGAAAAACTGTTCAAAGCTTCAAGGAGCTTAGTTGTGTTCTCAGGTGAGATCCATCAGTAGCTTAGTTACTGGGAATCACTCTGTAAGGCATGAGAAGCACTCAAACTGAAATGAGCAGCTTGCTAGTGTTTGGAAAAATGTATTTTCTTGGGAAAAAAAAACCTACAGAAATCTTTGAGGAATATAAGACACTGTAAGAGCCAGATATTGATGGGACTAAGGAAAACAAAACCAAAACTGTCCAGAAAGATTCACAATGCAAGTATCCCACTGAAAGGTCCATCTCAGACTTTGGGTAGCACTGTCTTTTAGAGCTGTGAGGGAAAGAAGCCAGGAGTAGCCCCCATGAGCATCATGAAGGCAAAGCAACCCTATGTGACCTTTACCTGTAAATGATGAATGACAGCAGCTACACACATATGATCAACAGCAGGCCAGCAGCAACTAAATGACAGCCACCATCAAGCCATGCTCTTCTGATGTACAACTTGCATCCATCCAAAGTTTTATTCATCCAAGAACTTTCAAATCTGCATTTTCTTTAGTAGAGTTTAGGCCAAGAGACAAGGGCTATGTGGGCTACTGGTACTCTAGTTTATCATGGAAATGTCAGGGGTTGGGGAGCTGAGAGTTTCATCTGGTTTATATCTCCTGTTCTGTTTTTCCCTCTTACCACCCAGCTGCAAACTCCTTAAGCTCTCCAGATGTCCTGCTCCAGGTAGGTACATAAGCAGGGAAGGTTATTAAATACTATTTTCCTTGGTCAGCTTATTTTGCTTGGATGCAGACAGAACATACCTTACAAGGAAAAACAACTGTAGTTCCTTAACTCCAAAGAGATCATCAAAAATAAAATAAAAGGGGAAACTGCTCTGAACAAGTCAGAAGAACAGAAGAGTATGCTCAGAGGGGCTTGGAGAGTAGTGCCTTGCACATTAGTTACTCAGAGTCACAGTATCAAGTCAAACCACTTTCCCAACCCAACCCATCCTGGCTGCACACTCTTGCTACCCCCCTTCAGCTCTGCCTTTTTGTACATTGCTGGCCCTAGGTACAGGGACAAGACAAGTCCTTCTGGAAGCTTCCAACAGCTCAGTACTTCACTCCTGGAATAAACTCCTTGGCATCTGGATTCAGGTTACTTTTGGTCTGAAATAAAAAATCAAGAGAAAACATTATCTCAAAGCATGGTGTCCTTTATTTTTTCATAATTAAAAAAAAATTTAGTTGGCATACAAGATGAGTTTCACTATAAAATTTTATACATATGCATTACACTGACTTTGCTGATACCTGCCTCTTATCTCTTCCCACACCGATGGTCATCTTTCTACTTTCATGTCATATTACACTTTAAAACTTATTTTCAGGCTGGTGATGTAGCTCATTGGTATAATACTTGCCTAGCATGTACAAGGTTTAAATCCCCAGCCCTGTAGAGGGAAAGAGAGGGGAAGAGGGATAGGGAGAAAAACACCAAGTCGTTTAAACTTTGTTTTTGTAGTTCTGACATATGCTAAGCAAGTGTTCCACAGCCGAGCCACACCGCTGTAGCCTTCCTGGTAAGCCTCAGGGAAAGGGAGATTCTTAATACTCAACGTTGTCACTAAATTGTTCTCAGAGGCTCCTCCATCCTGCTTCCCACTCCACTTCAGCATATTCCCTTGAATGTATGAATGATATTCATTTAAAAATAGCACTTCAAGCCATGAAATAGATTAACATGGTGAAAAACAATATTCCATGCAGCCCGTTTGGACACCAGAACCTCTATTTATCTTTCTGTGTCCCTTCATGCTCTTGTCTTGGCTCACTGGCCTGTTAGGAGTGTTCCTCCTAATAGGAACAGTTTTCCTAGCAGATCGAGAGTACATTAGATTCAGATAGTGAAAAAGAATTATCAAATGCTCTACTGAAGCCCAACTCAAACTTTTAATCTTATCACAGTGCAGAGCATCAGGGTACTTGAAGGCTGATGATTATAGTTTCACAGAGCTGGAGACTATTTAAGGGGTGAAGACATGGCAGCTGAGAGGGTCCAGAGATTTGATGTATGGTGTAGGGCCACAGAGGAATCTATGACTCCAAACACCATATTCCTTTCAGGATGTCACATGTGGAATTATTGAAGGCTCTTACCAAAATGTCTTCAGATTCATGACTGTCGCTGACTGACAGTTCATTTAACTGCTGCTGTAAGTGTCCCACAGCCTGAGGCAGGTCTCGTGCTGGGATGAACCAGTCCTGGTCCTCTTCATCCAGCATCTCCTGGAAGCAGCGGTCCAAGAAGTCTTGCTCCTGCAGCTCTTCCTCCACCTGCCAACAGAGGAGGAACACTCAAAGGTACTATCCCAGAGGATGATCCCTCTGTGGTTCCCAGTCCCTCCCTTCAGAGGTCCTTTTTCTGCAGTTCAGAACAATGGGCAGGAGAGTTAATGATGCTTCTAATAACTATTGTGGTTTAAATGAGAAGTGTTCCCAACTGGCTCATGTTTCTAAATACTTGGTCCTTAGTTGGTGATGCTGTTTAGGGACATTTCCTTATTTAGGTCTTATGTCTTACATTTCAATCTGGTTTTAAAAGCCTCATACTTGTTCCACTCTTCTTTGAACAGAGCTTTGAACTCCTGATCCCTTTGCTGCTTCTTATAAATAAATGTTGGGATTATAGGCATGCACCACCATGACCATCTTTCAATGAACTTTTTTTCCCCAAAAAGATAATAAGGAAACTGGGGAAATGGTTCAGCAGGTAAAATGCTTATGGCACAAACATGAGAACCTGAATTTGGATCCCCAGCATTCCTGTAAAAAGCTAGGTGTGGTGGTCTATACCTGTAATTCCAGTGTCCAGAGGCAGAGACAGAAGAAATCTAAGGACTCACAGGCCAGCCAGTCTAGCCAATCACCAGCTTCAGGTTCACTGAGAGACTCTGTTTCAAAAAATAAAGTGGAGATTGTAGAGGAATGTGGGAGCACATTTCTGATGGGGTACATCTGGTCTGTCTCCAGAGTGCTAGCTCCTAGCCCTAATCCATCTTTTGTTTAGCAGATACATGTTGTTTCCTTTGCCATCCTAATATGTGAATCTTACCTGATAGTTTCCCAAGGATACTAAACCTATGCAAAACTTGTTTTTGCCAATCGAGAATTTGCATTTGGCATTGTCCTATTGGAAGCTTAGGTTGAGGATACGGAAATCAACTTGCGAAGGTATAAATTGAAACACAATAAAGGAAACCCTGGTGAAGGAAAAACAGTTCAGTCTTTAGGGCCTGATCCATCCTGCAGCCAGAAAGGCTAAAGTCATTCTTCCACAGTGTGAATCCAACACCCACACTGCAAAAGAGGAAGATAACACAATAGACATTTGGTCTTCTCATGCATAGGTGTATGTGAATGTATATCTTCCGACCCAATCAATGGCAATCAATACTAGTATTAGGGATTATAGGTCTAATTTTTTTTTATTATGTTTATTTATTGTTGGGGGGAGGGACCATGTGGGTCCTGGGAATTTAACTCTGGTTGTAAGGCATGGTAGCAATTGCCTTTATCAACAGAGCCATCTCACAGGCCCCCCCCCCCCCAAGGTATTTTTAGTACAATGTATCTTGACTTGAATATTATGGTAAAGAAATTGTGACCTGCCTGGAAACCTTGATATAGTATCTTCTTGTCTTGCCAACTTTGATAGACTTTCCAGAATGAGACATACAAACAGTAGCAAGGGCATGTCAACAAAGTGTTGTAGTAGTCACCACTTTGACAACTGTAGCAGCAGTGTCAGTGGAAGCAAGAGGGCAGGGTAGAACTCCACACAAGCAACAGAGACAATAAAGGATGGTGGGATGGAAATACAGAGACCTACACAGGGCAGAAAGGATGAGGGAGGGAAAGACTGCAGATCCTTGAGGGTTTAAGAGGATTTAGGAGCTAGCTGGCTCTGACTGTTGCTGCTTAGAGCAGAGGAATGCACTAAGTCCTGAGGGCCAGGCCCTTGGCTTAGAACCCAGAGCTGTAGACTCTTAACTTGAGCTATAGGCCTCTGGCTGCTAAAATCTAGAACCCCTGGTTCTCTTGAGTATGTCATGACTTTATCAACACTAGAAGATCCACCCTGTACCTACAGGTACAGCAAAAGATTCCGGTAGCTCAGAGAGACAGAGACTGCCTTCTACCTTTGCCTACCTGTCTATTGAAATCCTCTTCATTCTCCATCCACATATATTCTGCAAATGGGTTTTCCTTTTCTTCATGTCCATGTAATTCTTGGTCCTCTTTACATTTCACACTGGGTGATGTACTAGCTATACTGGGTCCATTCATTATGGATAGTCTAAACAGATAAAAAAAAAGGCAAAAAGTAAAGATAAGGACTGAGGAAATTTGAATGCAAAATATACAGATCTTTCCAATAGCTTCTAAAGTTGTAGGCCAATGACTTTAATGAAAATGAATACATTTGTTAGTGTTATGACATCTCTCTCTCTCTCTCTCTCTCTTTCTTTCTCTCTCTCTCTCTCACACACACACACACACACACACACACACACACACACACAGAGAGAGAGAGAGAGAGAGAGAGAGAGAGAGAGAGAGAGAGAAAGAATTACCAACTATGCAGATGTATAGTTCTTTAAGAATTGAAGAGTGGGGCATGGTGTTGTGGTGGTTTGAAAGAAAATGCCCTTCAAATGGAGAGGCGCCTTTAGGAGGTGTGGAGGAAGTGTGTCACTGTGGAGGCAGGCTTTGAGGCTGTTCAAGCACTTCCTGCTGCCTGTAAATCAAGATGTAGTAACATGTCTGCTTGCATGCTGCCATGTCCCACCACGATGATAATGAACTAAACTTCTGAAAATGTAAGCTATCCAATTAAATGTTTTCATTTTTAAGAGTTGCTATGGTCATGGTGTCTTTTCACTGCTATAGAAACCCTCACACCTGTCAACCTCAGCCTCAGAGGTCAAAGCAGGAAGACTGCCCCAAGCTTTAGGCTAACCTGGGCTATTGTAAAACTTTTCTCAATCAAAACAAAAACAAAATAAAAAACAAACAGAAGAGATTAAGAAAAATAAATGTCCATGCTTACTCTTTCCAAACAAAAACAAAGGATATGGTAGTAGCAGAATTTTCCTATGCCAAATTGGTAAATGTTCTAGAACCTACTGCAGATCAACTTCTTAAGGAAGTGCATTCTTTTAAAAGTATCTGTTTATGCATATTTTCATTTATGCACGTGTGTCTATGAATATGCCATGTGTGAGGATGCTCAGAGGCCAGAAGAGGGCAACAGATCACCTAGAGCTTAAGTTATATAGGCAGTTGTGAACTGTCCAATATCTGAGCTAGGAACTCAACCAAACTAGGGTCCTCTGCAAGAGCAGCAGGTGCTTCTATCAGCTGAACCATCTTCCCAGCACCCTAGAAATGCATTGTTATATATAAACAGTGTAAGCACCTGCCCTTTATTCTGAATAACAAGTTCTATCTCTAAAACCTATTATACAATTCATGGGAGGTGAGATTGGAGGAAGTACTATAATTCTAAGGTCTGGGCTATGTAGCCAGACCTTGTTTTTTGTTTGTTTGGTTTTGGTGTTTCGAGACAGGGTTTCTCGTAGCTTTGTAAACTGTCCTGGAACTCCCTCTGTAGATCAGGCTGGCCTCAAAATCACAGAGATCCGCCTGCTCATCTCCCCAGTGCTGAGATTAAAGGTGTGCACAAAAACAGCCTGTCATGCTCAGAAGTTGGTCTCCCAGATGATTCTAGCTAGATCTAATCAAGCTGACAATATAATCCATCAGAGCTTTTAAATTCAATTTTGTACTTTTGTTATCTTTTAGAATGTCTTCTTTCTAATCTTTACTCCTCCCTTCCTCTAAGCTGCTGTGCCTGAGCAGCACACTGTTAATGGTATTCTTTGTTCTATTTCATGTACATAAGTTTTCTTCTTCCAATTAGATTCTCTACTTTTGAAAAACAAGGCTGTTAGGGCTCAGCAGTTAAGAGCATTTGTTGCTCTTTCAGAAGACCTGGGTTCAAATCCCAGCACCAATACAGTGGCTTACAATCATCTGTTAACTCAAGTTCCATGGGAGCTGACACCCTCTTCTGGCCTCTACGGGCACACTTGTGGTGCTCAAACATTCAAAACACCCATACACACACACACACACACACACACACACACAAATAAATATTTAAAAAAGGAAACAAAGTCAAGGTCTACACAGGCTGCTATTCATTTGTGAAGTGGTTTAGTCCTATTCTCTCATGTACACTACTGGCTGCTGGGACTCAAGTTTCCTTTAACAAATTATTTTCTATCTAGGCAACACACCTGAAAATTATCCAAGCTTTGAGTACATACACACACTCCTCTTGCTTAACCACCTTTAAAGTATCTGTAACTTCCTAATTTGTTATTAATATTTAAAAAATCCAATTTAGCTGGCTGCTTTTCCAGAGGATCTGAGTTCAGTTTCCAGCACCTACTTGGTGGCTCACAGCCATCTGGTGCCCTCTTCTGGCCTGCAGGGATACATGCATGCAGAACACTGTATAAGTTATAAATAAATAAATTATAATAAATAAATCATAAATCTTTAAAAAAATCCAATTTAGTAAAACAAACAAACAAAACATGATAGGATATGGAAGAATAAGTGCATGGAAAAGCCAGGTGTGGTAGCAAAGACTTTTAATCTTAGAACTTGGGAGGTGGAGGTAGGATGACTAGCAGTTCAAGGTCATCTTCAGATATAACAAACACTGGAGGTTATCCAGTGATAATCTGTCACAAACAAACAAATGTGCTGGGAATTTATCTCAGTGCATGCCAGGTCTTGGGGACAACCTCTAGTACTGCAAGGATAGTTAGAAAAAGTGCTTACAAATTGTAAGGGAATTTCAGTTTAGTGTAGCCATAGTGTCTCGTGTCTACAATACCAGCACTCCTGAGGCAGAGACAGGAAAATTATCATGATCTCCAGGTCAGATTGTGCTAGAATGAGACCTTTCCTGCCTCTCATAATTTTATTTTTAACAGAAGTTTTTAAGTAGGGTACCAAATAAGGAATACATCTGTTTAGCATACTGTAGACAGAGACAGAAGAAATCAAGGTCTAGTCCCAATACAGACTCAGACTCAGAGTTGCACAGGGTCTCTCTTCCTCATAAGGGGAATCCAGCGCACTACTGCTGACACTTCGTGCAATATGCGAGGATAGAAGCTTGCTTTGAATGCCAATGCACCTGCAAAATAAGGTAATATTCTTATACACAGAGACCTTGCAGTGACTAGGCCTTGTTTTATACCAGGTTGTGATGCATTGTCATTTCCAAGGCCTTAGCTGATAGCTGTTTACAACAGTCTACCAATACAGAAACCATCCAGAGAAGCAGAGCTTAGTTTTGTAAAACAATCTACCTTTGTCCAAAATAAGTAAATCATGTACAAATGATTGCATGAATAAAAAGGCAGCAAAAGAAAAAAAAAACTTTTGTGTAGAGCACAGTAAATTCCATGACACATTTGTTCATGAAAGTGGTAACGGAAACGGAGCACATCAGTGTGTTGGCTTTAGATTTTATGACAGACCCATTTTGATTTTCATCCATGGTTTCTGGCTCAGAGCTATAGTCTTCTGGTTCAGTTTGGTTTCTGATCAGTGTTCTGTTAGAACCTCCAGATGTCCCATTCCTGTTTCTCCAAGCCCCATCCATTCAGAGAATCTCCAAACAAAGGGAAGGTACTGAAAAGCCCAGTTTCACAGCTTCCTCCCCTCTAATTGTCAGCCACCTAAAGCTGTCAGCTTTTGACTATATTTGGGCACAACACAGTTTGTGGCTGACACATCATCATCCCTCACCTATTACCTATATAATCTTCCTGGTTTAGTTCAGGCATACAGCTTCTCCAGCTCCATCTCTGGGACTGGAGAAATAATCTGGGAATTGCTTTGTTGTTACACCTTTTTAATTTGGCTTGATCTGGTTTACTGCATAGACAGAGACATTTATTATGGGGGTGGGGTCAGAAAATCTATTAATCAGTAAGGGTGGAAGACAATCCTTTAGTCTTCTCTTCATTTTCCAGTGCTGGGAATAAAACCCAGGGCCTTGCACATGTAGGCAAGTACTCTACTACTGAGCTAGCTATACTCCAGCCCTAGATAGTCTCTTGTAATGCTATGGTGCTTTAGGCCACAGAAACCGTAGTCTTCCTCTGCTTTTTTCTCCTCCCAGAAGGCCATAGAAACTAACAATTCTTTTCCTCCAGACAAATAATAGAAAACAAAGATATATTCGCAGTTTCCCCTTTCTTTTTTGTCTCAGGCTGGCCAAAATTCTCTAATTTGGTAGATTGATCATAAAACACCATTTCAGTAGAGGTTCTGCTGCACAGAGGCCAAGAAGAATCTGGATAGACAGGCCCTGCTGGGTTTCCCTATGCAGTCTTCAAGCATTAGACCACACCCTTTCTGTCTGGTCACATTGTTACAGGGTCATCCTGTTTGAATCATTCTTTTATAATGAAGCCCTCATAAAGAACCAAACAAGGTAAGGTTCAGAACATTTCTGCACAGCTAAACACATGGACGCTTATAGAAAAGTGAATAAGAAATTATTCATAAGCTGGGAGGGGGTGACCCCAGACCCAAAGGGATGGGAATTCCTGGGCCCAGGGTATTTCCAAATCTCATCCTATCAATCTCTTCATTTGGCTATATGTTCCTCTGCTGTTATTTATTTATTAATTTATTTATTGTTTTTTTTTTTCTGTGTAGCTTTGTACATCAGAGTAGCCTCGAACTCAGAGATCTGCCTGCCTCTACCTCCCAAGTGCTGGGATTAAAGCCATGAACCACCACTGCCCAGCCTCTTTCATTATTTTTGTAATAGGTGTCTCATATGTATCCCTGGTTGGTCTGAAACTGACTATATAGACTGACTTCTAAGTCACTGTGATTGTTTAACTTTGTCTCCCACATGCTAGAATTATAGGCATGTAACACCAAACGATGTGGTATTTGTCCCCTACAAAATATCCTTTAGACTAAACTAGTAAACATCAGTATTTCCCTGAGTTGTGAGCTGACCAGCAAGGTAAACCCAAAGATGTGGGGAACCCCAATCGACAGCCAGTTGATCATAACTTTTAGAGGTCTAGAAATTTCAACTGGTGTCTGAAGTGAGGAAGCTGTGTGTTAGGACTGAGCTTTCAATCTGTTAGACCTGACATTACTTCTAGGTAGACAGTGCCAGAATTAAATTGCCCAACTGGTTTCTGCTGCACGGCAGACTATTTTCTGGAGACAGGCACACACATTTGA